AATATAAGTGCTGCTTTTAACTTGACAGATCTGTATTTGATTGCACTCTTGTCAAAAAAGTGTCTGAAAGTAAATTTTGAAGTATTAAAAATCCTCCCTTGCCGAGCAATGAGTCGCCATCACTTTCCCAATATCTTTCTGCCTGTCAGTGAATTGGGGGCTTGCTGAGTCTCTGCTTTTATTAACTTGGGAATGATGCTGCCAGTTTTTGTTTCATGGCCCATACAAAATAAAAGGCTTTGCCCACATATAAGGATTCCTAGCAAGGACACATAATGATTTAGTTGAAATTCACAATCATTTTGACTGAAAAAATGTCTGACAAACCAAAGGTTTGCTCTGTTTTCTCAATGATTTTACTTCTAATTAATGTGTCTAATTAGTTAATGTGGGCATGTCTTGCCGGAGTTTGCAAAGTCATGAGCGAAAGTTGAAGTATGTGCATTGTAAGATTATTTGTTCATATTTGTATAATGAGTTTTTATCAAAGGCTATGACCTTATAGAGTCGTGCATCTTTGTGTTACTATACAGTGATGAAACGTTTTAATAAAACACTTCCAAATATGTGGGTGCCTCTACTAAGTATGCGCTGGTGATGGTGGGCTGTCAGCCCTGGAGCCAGTGTTTGCTTTCCAGGGTTCATTTGGGTTGGCTGTGCCCCATGCAATAAATCCAAATCTTCCATGTAATGTGTGCTTTTTTTAATGACCAATTCAGGTTGTATGTTTGAGTCCATATGTGTTTGCACAGCTTCACAGTCACATTGGACCTCAGTAATGAGAAACCAAGTGCCTTACTGCTATTTAGAGGGAACCACAGTGCATTTATACCACATTTCATGCCATTGTGCAGCCGGTAAAGCTGATGATTGTGCATCTGTGGGACAGGGCTTTTGGGGAATTGTCTCTCTCTTTGCTCCATCTGTTTGCCCTTATCAATTTCCTCGCTCATGTAATTATGTCTGTGCATTACAGCAGCACTAGGTCACTTTAGAGGTGCTGATCTATTATATTGTCCCATTTGGTCACTGGATTTTGATTTGCTTGAATGCTATTGTTTTCAGTGCATGGGGACTGTGATTAACTTGTTTACTAGCAAGAAGTAGGGCTGTCACAGTATCAGCTTTTTGCCACATAATGTGTGGCAGTAGTAACTATACACTGCATCGTTGCTATTGTTTTAATTTTTGTTGTTGTTGTTTATAATGTGTAGCAACCAGCATTTAGGGGAAACACCGCCACCTACTGTGTTGGAGCGTATCATATTAGTGTTGGGCGATACAGTCATTTTTCAAATCGTCATATGTACCACAATACCACAAAACCAATCTTAAGTGTCAGTTTTTCGAAACTGAGATTTATACATGATCTGAAAGCTGAAAAAAATCAAAATATTGAGAAAATGGCCTTTAAAGTTGTCCAAATGAAGTTCTTAGCAATGCATATTACTAATCAAAAATGAAGTTTTGATATATTTATGGTAGGAAATTTACAAAATATCTTCCTGGAACATGATCTTTACTTAATATCCTAATGATTTTTGGCATAAAAGAAAAATCGATAATTTTGACCCATACAATGCATTCTTGGCTATTGCTACAAACATACCAGTGCAACTTAAGACTGGTTTTGTGCTCCAGGGTCACATATCGTCAGCCTGTGAGATCGACGATACACAATATTATCGTGCGTGGGTGGGGCAAGAGAGAGACTCTCTGTACTTGTCATAGCATAACTATTTGGTGTTTTAAAGCGCGTGGGTGCGCGAGAGTGAGCCTATGGAAGCACCAATAATCGAAATAATATGCTTTCAAACATACTGATAAACTAACATGTTAAATATAAAAATACTGTATTTAAAACGGCTAATTCATATATAGTCGGACACAACTGTCATACCACGCGTCCTGTGACACGTTTGGCGCGTCTGCGCACAGACGTTATCAGTCTAAAAGGTTTGTAAAATCAGTCAACGGTGAAAATCAATAGTAGATTTCATTTAAAGACCAACGGTTTAACACTAAATATTGGACATAAACAAACACTTTAAATATAAAGTATTTAAAACGGGTAAGTTCATATATTTGGAGTAAAGTTAAATTGAACGGATACATCAGTCATACAGCGCTCCGGACCACGAGCCCAACGCACCGCCCCAGAAACAAGAATGAGATGCATTCTAACATAACTGTGGCATTAAACTCAGTTAGTGAGGGCTCGGTTAAAATATTGCACATATATAGGCCGTTCAGATTACTTGTTAAAGTGCAACAAAATACCTTATATCAGCAGACGATGTACGTCTGTTTGTGGTTGGAGACTCCTTCACTGGCTACAGGCTCTAATCCTCATTTGCGCGCGTGTGCATGCGTGTGTGTGTGTGTGTGTGTGTGTGTGTGTGTGTACGGATACATCAGTCATACAGCGCTCCGGACCACGAGCCCAACGCACCGCCCCAGAAACAAGAATGAGATGCATTCTAACATAACTGTGGCATTAAACTCAGTTAGTGAGGGCTCGGTTAAAATATTGCACATATATAGGCCGTTCAGATTACTTGTTAAAGTGCAACAAAATACCTTATATCAGCAGACGATGTACGTCTGTTTGTGGTTGGAGACTCCTTCACTGGCTACAGGCTCTAATCCTCATTTGCGCGCATGTGTGCGCGTGTGTGTGTGTGTGTGTGTGTGTGTGTGTGTGTGTGTGTGTGTGTGTGTGTGTGTGTGTGTGTGTGTGTGTGTGTGAAATGTGGTGCTGAAGTGAAATAGTGGGGCAATTTGATAACCGAATTATACGGTAATAGGCCGCCTAATCATAATAATAATAATTATTATTATTATAATTTAATACATTAATAGGAGAATGAGCCTAATATCGTCTTGACTATGGACAAAGACATCTGCTATCGTCGATATCTCTTACTATCGTCGATAGATGATACTATCGTCTATCGGCACAACCCTATATCATATTATCATATGTGTAGCATTAACATGATATTAGCATTTCATTTTTTTTAAATATCACCATTAATCACATTTTTATTCCAATATATTGACACTCCCATACCAAGGAGCCATTCAAACACAATAGGGTCAGTGTTTAAAAATGTCATTTGACCTTTGAAAGATTGAGTGAGATTTAAATATTTTCTTTTGAATGTGTTTGACTGCTAGGATATTAAATAATATCAGTTTAGTTGAAGATTGCTTCGAATGGTTCAATTGATATAATCAGATTCCATCCTACTTTGTTTTCCCATTGAATAGCTTGCATCACACAAATAAAAATTGGTGGCAGTTACTATTTCATGTTGACTTAAAACAGATTTATTCCTATTTATACCAGACATTGGACATACAGTTCTCTAGTTTGACCTAATTATTAATGAACTATATCTGTAATTTTTAATGTTACAACTAATCAGCATTTATTAGTGAAGTATTAGTGAACAGTGCAGTAATGTTGCTCTTGACCTTTCGTCTGATGCTAAAGGCGGAGTTAATGGCTCCTTCAGCGTTAGAACTTGCCTTAAAGTATGATTTAATTCACTTCTTAGATTCGCTATGGTGCCGTTCATAATTGCATCCCATGGGTGCCTGGGGATTGTTCCATCTTCTAAGATGCTTCTAGATAACACTCCTCACAAACAGTCTACTTTTAATTAAATGTTTCCCTCTCATTACGCTTATCTGTCAGATTAAACTGGAAAAAGTTCTGTGGGGCTATTTTTTAAGCACCCTTCCTTGAGCTCATTTATAACCTGTGTACATGGCTTTGGCATATTTTCTGCAGGCTGTTTCAGAGGCTCCATTCACTGTAATAATAAGCAGAAGGGGAAAAATGGTGTGTTTGATTGGTATTCCCAAGAGGAGGAGAGAGCAATTACACTGGGCCAGTAGAGAGATCAGTCGTATGTGAAGTTGTTGATCATTTTTGCCAGTGCCTGTCTAACGGCTCTTGCTAAGAATAATTGGGGTGATCTGAGCCCCCAGTCTGCCTTTATGAAAGCACTAACATGTATCAGTGAAAGCCCAGACCGAGGCTAAACACTTGAGTGCTAACATTCATACACGTTAAAGGGGTCATATCGTGACAAATTGAATTTTTGGGAAGTGTTCAGTGCACTATGAACACGTATCGTAACTCATAGCTGAAAACCCCAATTCGAAAAAGTTAAGTTGTTGAAATAACTTGCACCAAACTTCTGCAACTTTCTAATTTTAGTAAGATGTATGCATTATCTCATGATATCACACATTTGTTAAAAAATGGTTTTGGGTTTTCACAAACTAAGAGTAGATGTTTGAGACTAACTCTCCTAGACTGTTCCAAAATGGTCATGCCTTGACTTGTCATTTTTTGACCCAGAACAATGAAAGTGTAACAGTGGAGTAAAATTCTACAAAGTTGAAACAAATATAAAATATGAGAATCTATCTTGTATTTGGACAAGATTTCTGCTATCTAGTAAAAAAAAAAAAGGAATTCTTGATTTTATGCATACAGTATTTGAATATTTATTATGACAATATTAAACTATTATTTACCAAAGCTTAGTATTTTTTTTAAATAATTTTAAAGTGTCATTTTTGCAGTAATTTATGCAGCCATAGACTCCCATTCATTTCACACTCTCTGAGTGAATGGGTGTAAATCTTTTGCGTTTTGGATGTTTTATAGTTTACATCCTTTATTTTTGTGAGTGTTTGTTCAGCATTCTGACTTATATGCATTTTATTCAACAAATATGTAAGAAAATGCTGTTTTGGTTGCAATTTACATGCAAAGAGGCTTTTGAACATAGAAGCCTTAAAGGCTTGGCAGCTATAAAAACAGCCTATTTATTTCAGAGTTGAAGTGAGTGTGGAAAATGTTGAACTAAATTATGACTTTGGTCATTGAAAATAAAATGAATAATAAATATACAACAATTTGACATTTACAAACAAACCTTGACAGATCCTTTAATTGTACGTTTAACTCTTTTTGGCAGGTGGATGACATCCTCGGGGAAGAGAGTGACAATGAAAGCGAGGGAAAAGGGAAAGAGGAGAGGATGGAGGTAGAGGAGGAGGACGACGAGGAAGAACAGCCCCACACGAGCAAGCAGAAGGCCCCAGCATCAGATCACGTTCCGCCACTGGCCGCTGTTGTTGAGGAAGCAGCCCAAACATCGACCAGAGAAGAAGTCTGTGTAGTGGGGAATGCGCCAAGGTATTAAACCCCCAGTGCCAGTAAAGGAAAATTAGAATTGTTTTTCTTGAATTGTTGAAACTTGAGAATTTCATAAATTTCATTATGGAATTCATGTAACCTCTAATGCTCATGAAGTGCTTTACCGATAAAATTGTGCTCTGTGATTGAGCTTTAAACCTCTTGCTTCAATGGCGTAAGTGTTGATTAGTGACACGCTGCTGTGCCCGATTTCCAGCAGGTCCTTGTACTCCCGAAACTGCCAGTGTCTTCGGCAAATAACATTACCAGTTGCCATGGCAATGTCTGGAATTAGAGATCTAGCAGAAGGTGGGGTCACGTCCTCTTACATCTTCCTGTCCAAGCACAGATGCCCCACCCGCTGCCCAGACTTCTGTCCGACACTGGCGTAGTCGGCAGGATGTTGTCAGATCAGCGTGTGTGAGGAGCTGCTTTCTGGGCTGGTCCGCTCTTGTCTGGAGAAGCTAAACGGACAGGAAGGCACGCTAGTCTTTTATCATATGGCTCATACTGCACCCATTTTCCACCGGAAAATTAGACCGTCCCGCTTTATCTAGTTTCTCTGCTTCCCAGCAGTCATTAGCAGTGACTCAGAGCCCACAGCGCTGTATCCTGTATAGCCTGTGCCAACTGAATGAATGCAGTAGCGTAATTGTTAGGAGTTCAGAGCGGTGAACAATGAGATGAGTGGAGGAGAAAAAGAAGTTATTTGAGTGTCTCAAATTGTCTATTTGGCTCTAGAAAGACCTGCATCTAGTGATTACAGCCTGGTTTTCGCACCTGTTATTCTTTTCATGTTCTTTCTTTTTTATAATTTTCACACTTTTTTTGTAATTTTCTCAAGTTGGTGAAATCAGAGGATGGTAAAGGTTTTTGCACATATTTTGTTTTTGATGACAAACTCATGTTTTACTTTGAAGCTGTAATTTTCTCGACATCTGAAGTCAGATTGTACAGGTTAAAATAACATCTTTTGAGGAAGAACTTGGCTTTTTGGCAAAATTTGCCAGGTTTGAGGCATCATTATCACAACATAGTTACCTTTGCGGTGCGTTTGTGAGTTATGCTTTGAAGGCAGATACTTTAGAGTTGGGTGTCGTCAGCATAACAATGGAAATTTATGCCAAATTTATGAAAAATGTGATCTAAAGTTAAAGGACAGGGCTTGACGCTTACTTTTCTTTTTACTTTACTTCGCTTAAAAAAATTTAGTCAGTCGCAAATGCGACTGAAATGGTCGCACTGTCGAGCCCTGAAGGATGAGTAATAAACAGAAGAGGGCTTAAAACTGAGCCTTGAGGCACACCAGTATTAATCGAACATGTGATCTAAAACTTTGTTTGAACAAAATTTTAAAAAAATCACTGTTATCATCAATACTAGTTATATTGTGACATCCCTAATTAGATTTTTTTTTATAAATCTTTCCCCCCTTCCATCCTTCATCTCTAGCTGTTTTTTGCGTCATGTCATTGGCCTTGATTTAAAATGATGAATAATGTGCATAAAGATGAAATGTAAATCATTTAAATCTGTTTATCAGCACATCCTGATGTGTAATATGTATGTTCATTTGGATGGAAATGAAACGCTAAACGACAGTAACTCTTTTCACTATTAGCATAGCTATCTTCTCTGTAATGCATATATTGTGTAAAGGGCGTGACAGCATTTGTGTATAACATCCTCCCACTCAAAATAATTTAGTCTTGTCTTTGCCATAATTACATCAGCTCTTCAGCAGCACCTCATAAATGTAATTCCCTCTTCTTTAACCATTTTAAGCAAAGAGTTTCAGCTCAGAGAGAGAGCACTTACTTTTCCCTTATTGGCCATTAGTTACACTTGGGAGCAAAAAAAAAGTTTGTCAGACCACAGTGTACCAAGTTAACATTGTCCGCTGTTAATTTTTTGCAGTAATTAGTATACCTTGAGTAGCTCCACCCTCCCATTCTTTTTACAATTTAAAATTGGCAGGAGAAGGTTGCGGTTGCAGGATTTGATGCCATGGAAACACTCCACATCTAAATACTGTGCAAGAGTTGCTTCATGATGGAGAAATGGCATTTTCATTAAAGTGAAGCTAGTACATTTTTCACATTCAATGAATGGAGTGAATAGCACATTTTCTTTATGAATGAAAAATGATGTGTATTGAGATACTGCAGAGTTAGGAGGAAATAGATTATTTCAGAAAATGGCCATATGAATTCGGTTGCAGTCCAACTTTGCATTCTTTTATAGATTTAAAGGGAAAGTTCACCCAAAAACAATGGTCACCATTTATTCACTCTTATGTCATTTCAAACCAGCATTACTTTCAGTTTTTTTCTGTGGAACACAAATGGAGATGTTTAGAGAGTGTTCACACTACATATTTCCATTCATTTGATGGGATAGTTCACCCAAAAAAGGAAAATTCTTTCATCTATACCCTCAAGTTGTTCCAAACTTGTATGTGGTTCTTACTTCTGTGAAACATAAAACAAGATATTTTGAAGAATCTTAGTAACCAAACAGTTGATGGTCCCTATTGAATTGTAGGGGGAAAAATACTATGAAAGTCAATGGGAACTGGCAACTGTTTGTTTAGCAACATTCTTCAAAATATCTGCTTTTATGTTCAGCAGATTAAAGAAATTCATACAGGTTTGGAACAGCATGAATGTGAGTAAATAAAGACAGAATTTTCATTTTTGGGTGAACTATCCCTTAAAGGTGACACATTATGCCCCTTTTTACAAGATGTAATATAAGTCTCTGGTGTCCCCAGAATGTGTCTGTGAAGTTTCAGCTCAAAATACTCCACAGATAGTTTATTATATAATTTTGAAAATGCCTATTTTGAGTGGAAGCAGAAACACGCTGTTTTTCGGGCCTGTGTCTTTAAATGCAAATGAGCTGCTGCCCCCCCCCCCCTTTCCAGAATAGAGCTGCAGCTCATATTTGCTAAAAACATCCGTTTTGGTTCTGATTATCATACAAAATGATTGGGTTAATATTTTTCACGTTTCCTTGGTTGGTAGATGCACCGGGGACCTGATTATAGCACTTAAAACCTGGAAAAGTCCGATTTTCATGATATGTCACCTTATCATGATATGTCACAAAAGTATGTTAAAGTCATGCTTGTGTTATGCATGTCTTTGGTTCTTGTGTGTGTCTTTTGTGCGTTGTTCATCTTCACAGAGTTTTTGCTGCACTGTGTCATGAGTAATCATGTTTTTCGGTGGCAAAATTCCAGTCTTTGACTCGTCAATAGTTCCAGTGGTAATCGTCTAGCGTCATACTGATTAAGCGCATCTGTCCGTCTGGTACACCGCAGTAATGAACTGGCCTTTGCCAGCAAATACTGAAGTTACTGCCAAACGAATATAAAGGTGAAGTCGTGGCTTAATGGTTAGAGCGTCGGACTCATAACCCAAAGGTTATGAAACCTTCAATACCACGACTGAGGTGCCCTTGAGCAAGGCACCGAACCCCCAACTGCTCCCTGGGCGCCGCAGCATAAATGGCTGCCCACTGCTCCGGGTGTGTGTCACAAGCACGCCTCCTGGTGTCTCTCTGAATGGCCCAGCAGTCTCAACTCGAGCAACTGTGTTACTGGCAGAGAAAATGCTCTGTGATTATGGAAGAAGCGCCACCGGCAGCGGCAGACTTTGAATAATAGAAATGGGCAAAACCTTATCTCAAACACAGAGCCCACCTGAGACAGATTCCTCTGCCCGCTGGCCAAAGGTTAGCTTCCGTAAATAGCGCCTTTTCCCGCCAAGGCGAGCGGCACTTTTGAAGATAATCTTGAATTAATAATCAAATCCTGTTTATTAATTATGTATTCTCAGAATATGCCCATAATTTTGCGTTTCTGAGCTGTGAGGATTTTTTTCTTTGTTTTTCAGTTGTTTGGATTAAATTTTTAATGTATTTTTTTTTCTTTTCTATCACTTGCTATGTTAAATGTATCTAATAAGAAATTAGTTTAGTTTATTATTCTTTTTTTGCAAAGTAAAATATAGACTAAATCAGATTATTGGAGTATGTTTTAGAAGAAAATAATATTTTAGTCATTTTACTTTAAAATGATATGTTTAATTCTGTGTTCCTTGCTATTTCTTTGGGGGGGGGGGGGGGCAGAAAAAAAGAGAGATTCTTTATAAAAGTTAAGACTCGTCCACAGCTTCCTAAAGTGCTTCATTTAAACACGCCCCCACATCTACATCACTGTGTGGGAAGATTTGCATAACACCGCCCAAATGTTCATGCAAAGAAAGAAGGCGTAACTTTTATTCTCGCTTTAGTATTGTTGCTGTTGCCGCCATGTCGTGGAGACACTGTGTTTCCAAATATGGTAGAAGCGTAATATTTCTGTCACACGCTTGAGGTGTTCGGCCAATCACAACGCACTGGATAGCTGGCCAATCAGAGCAGAGCTTTTCAGAACGATGAGCTTTGTAAAAATCGACACATTTCAGAAAGGCAGGCAGAGAGGAGCAACAATAATGTACAGTATGTGGAAACAAAATGTTATTGCGGACTGCTCTACAAGCTACTACGCGAGCTCTCATGAATGCAGTTGCCAGATATCAAAAGTTCAAATCCCAGAATCTGAGCTTCGCTGTTATAAGGACACATTTTCTGCCCGGTGTTTTGCTTATTTTAAGCAATCTGGCGACCATGCGCACGCGCTCGCTCCTCATTGCAGAAGCGCCGCCGCTGATGACCTGAAAACACTGACAAACAAGCTGGAGTTTAGCAATCTAAATGAAAGCATCACTCAGCCGGTCTGTGTTCTGTCATGAGATCTCGACTATATTGTTTGCGACTGTGGTTGCTGTATAAATGCACTTACTCAACTGCTGTTACCCTATAGATAAATAGGCTATTGCCATTTAGAATTATAGTGGAATTACTTGGAATTTCACTGTTATAATATTTTTAATTTGTTTTAGCAGTTTTCATAATGTAGACAGAGACTGCATAAGTCTTTGGTATTAAATTATATAATAA